GCTACAGAACACCAACTTCCAACAACAAAGAAATAATATTCGTCGAGCCTCTTCTCATGGTGATCTTCACAGAGAGCAGGTACAACAAGATAATGAACTTATGATTACGATTCCGGAAACAAGACGAAACTCAGAAGGAAATCTTCCATACTGGTTTCACTCAGCTTGTAAGCTACTTGTATTTATATATAATATTTAGTGATTCCTTGCTAATATTCTCGTCTCAAAATTAGATCCATCTGGTGCCATCATGAATTTGTCGCCGACTCCTCTGGATAATATTGTGCCTAACGGTATGTGAGTCAACAATTCCTTTTCTTATATAATATCGTTCATAGTAATAATTTTTTCTTTTCAAACAAATATACCAGATTTTTCTCCGATAATTTCTCCGATAATTTCTCCGGGCGATACGCCATCCATAATTTTTGATATGATTTCTGGATATGCTTCCGACCATATGGAATATAGCGGCTTGAATTCACCTTATCCAGACATCCAAGTTCCCCCATCACCATCTTCGATGACAAATGAAGAGAGCCAGACGGATGGATTAAATATATATGGACTTAACATCGAAGATTTGGACTATTATGAGTAACTGTAGAATTAAAACAAACAAACAGTTGGCATTCTTTAGAAATATTAAAACAAATTCATCTTTTAGAGAGGACATTTCAATCAATGGAATGTTATAGATAACATTTATGAACATTAAATGACATTTTTAGAAACCATCATGAAAATAATAGCATTATAGAGACTTATAGATATAGCATTATAGATATAATTATAGGCATAACTAATACGTAATTTTTAATGTTTTATATGATATTTGACATACCTTCATTATAAATAATAATTTATATCCTGAAGTCTTTGGTATATAATTCATCTAGCGTGAAAAAAAAGTTCAATTTTAGAAAAAAGATGGATGGATAATTTATAGAGCCTTATCTGTGTAAGTCACGTGTTTAATCTAAGCCAATAAACCTCCCTCTATAAAATTACCTAGCCTCTATCTCTTTCTACAAGTTTAATGCAGTATCAAACCTTAGCCGAATTGGCAAGAGGATGATCCAAAAACCTTTTCGTAGATTGTTGTACAATGTAATTATCCAAATCACATGACTCTAATCATTATTTTTATCGTGACGCTTTTGGGGGAATACAGAAAACTCTACGCTCTTAAAATTTTTGAACTTACGACTCTCCGCCGGCGATCTGGGAGATAAAAAAACGGAATATAATCGCTACAATAATGAGTTAAACACAATAAGTAAACACTATACAGAAATGTCTGAAATGAGACAATAGATAGCAAAATGGAAGGGTGCCTTTAAGCTAGATGGATTTTTTTGATCACTTTGTGTACTTCAACTACCCTACACCCTTCCTTCGTGCTTGCAGTGGGAACGTCCATCGTGCCTGTTGATGAGTAATACTTAATGGCGACAATCAGAGTGCATCGACTACCCTGTAACCCTTCGTTCTTGCAGTGGGAACGTCCATCGTGCCTGTCGGTGATTAACATTCAACGGACTACCATGTGACCCTTCGTGCTCGCATTGGGAAAGACTGTAGCTTGTCCGTGATTGTCCTATGACTACCAATTTTTTTTATACGCGTGATAAGGCACCATACTTTCTTCCGTTTTAAAAAATAGAATGATAAGAGGACGGAGTCGGTAAACCAATTCTGGGAATTTCAAGACATAACGAGAATGACGGAAGAGAAATCGAGTGCTGAAGTTCGAATGTTGCAGGTATTCATTATCTCTACAATCTAACATGCTAGACTCAATAATTCACTCTTTATGTTATTTCCCATACAAGGCGGCTCAACACGTAACTATAGCCACAGTTAACAGATCAAGTTCAACAATATGCTAGATCAACCACTACCAAGATCTCGGAGAAATTCCTTGATGAAAAAGAAAAATCATCCGAAGATGAATCTGAGGATTATGGTGTCCATGTTGATAGTGGAGAATTCCCCAATTCTAGCCTAATAGGTAGAAATGGTACGAAAGATGATAATTTATTCAAACTTGTCTATGCATTACATAATTAACTTTTTTAATCCTGACGTTGTTCACACTTTCCTCATTTCCGAGGGAGCTTAGATGTAGCCCGTCACTCAAATAATATTTCAAAGTAAATTCGGAATTTCCTTCTACCGAGTCCATAATCACTTTCCATAAATTGACCACCGGCACGTTCAACTCTTGCGCTACCTGCAGACAGGCTAATGCATATTGATGAGTAACCTCGGATTT